AAAAGGGTTGTTTGCGAACAGGGGAAGAACGAACACGTTCGGGTGTATTCGTTCGCGCTTAAGAGACCGGCGGTTTGTGGATAAAGAAAATAGCGCCCTCGTTGGTATTTGGTTAATAGACGGGCGCGAATTACGCCTTGTAGGGGTAGTTTATAATGGATTTATGGCGCGGACGCGTGATAACGCGATAAACAGAACCGGTCGGCCATGGGCAAATTAACTATAACGGGATCGCTCTAGTTTCGCTCGACCAAGCGGTTCGTCCTTTTTCCCGCGAATAAATTATTAATTCGTTTTAATAGGCGGGACAATAGTGCACGTAAACGGCATAATTTATAACATTACAGAATTTGCCTCTATTTAAACAATTCATACGGGCCGAACAAACGCTACTAATGGTATTATTACATAAATCCCGCGCACTACAGATTCAATGTGCATTGGAAATGCATCGGGCGAACTGGGCTGTATCACGTGTTGCGCGTTTATTAGAAATTTCCGGGACACCGTGTTAAAACAAACGACGCGCCGCCGGCCGCGAAATCGGAATGCAAAACCGAGTAGCAGCAGCGGGAATTATCCTGAGAAAGCTGGATCAGGCACGTGCACACCGAGTCCCGTGTCTGCATCGACGTTAGTACGGAGTTTTCAGTGTCCGTTCAACGAGCCCGCGTCGGAAGAGGGTGCGAATCCGTCTACCGAAAAGTCCAGCTTCGTCTGATCCGAAAGAGAGATCGTGCAACTTTGCGAGTGCATTCTAGCGTTAAAAGCTTAAAGAATACCGCGAAATATCGGAACCCTTTCTGCGTCGAACGACAGGATCTAGAGGAGATACCGGGCAACGATCGGAGAAAATTTCGCGCGAATCGCGAGATCGTCTGCGATCGAAAGGAGAAATTGGAGGGGGTAGAACGGAGGAATCTGGACGAACGAAACAACCCGAAATCCTCGCAAGAGGGACCGGGACACGAGGTAATTTACAGACCAATCTCTCACAGCGAACGGTGTGCGTTGGAAAGTGGGTGAAAAAGCAGCGAGAAGGAGGTTTGCCGAGAAAGTAGCGCGTGCTGGGGTCAATTCGCTGGCCGTGTGCCGACTCAAAAACTGATCGTCGAAATTTATGCGACTTGTTCGAGTTGCCCAGGGGTAAATACCATACACGTTCCCGGCCGCGCCCACCCCGTTCCTCGCCGTTTGCTACACCACGAGTGGGCCGCGGCCACCTGCACGATCCATCGGTTTTGCGCGACCGTTTTTGCGTAGCCGGTGTATATTCGCGCAGATTAGGTTTCCCGCGACACGGAGCGTTAATGAACGAGGAAGTGTCGCTTGCACGGTAACCAGGAGGGGAGAAAATTTTCAAATTTGCGTTTACGCCCCGAAGCTAACCAACCCCTTGCTCTCTGAGCGCCACACCACGCTTCCTCACCCTAGCCGACTGGAACTCGCTGCCCGGAGCAAATGAACGGGTAAATATACCACTCGTAAATTCGCCAGAGATTTATACTCCTTGTGCCTTCTCCCTTTTCATTCTTTCACCCCTTCTTTCTCTTTCTCTCCCCCTTCGCATTTTCTCTCCCTGTCTCTCTATCCCCGGGATCGAGCGTTCTCCCGAAAGACACTGAATATGACAGCCATCCCGCGTTTATGCATATTCAGATTTAGCGTTCCGTGGCTTCGACGCCACAGGTTCGAGATCTCCACTCGACAACCCCTCTTTCGTTCATCCCCAGATTTGTTCCCCTACGCGGAAACGCGATCGAGACGCGACGCGGAGGCTCGTGACAAAAATTCATTGGAAATTGGCTTTCACGACTAAGCAGACAGCCCCGGTTGAATGAATCCGGGGCAACTATTGTGATTTTCCGCGCGCTCGTTCCTCGAGGGGGCAGGAAGGATCGCGGAGCGGTGGAAAGACGAAGAAAGTAAACGATACGCGTGAAAAGGCGCGAGAGCGAACACGCTCCTCTCCGATATTACCGTGTGCCGTGCAACGTATATCCGGGGTAATTTTCTCAGTCACGTAGGTGAGTATGTTTTGGCCGGGTGCGAGGCTGTGCCACCAGCCGCAACCTCTATTCACCAGCCCCTTTTCTCCCTGGCCAGCCACCCCTAAGCTAGGCCTCTTTGTTCGTCGAACCTCGTTGACTTCTGGCCGCGAGGGGGAAAAGAGAAGTATCAGGAGCGAAGAGACTCGGACTCGTCTATCGAACTTGCTTCTGTCTATCGAATTCGCGTGAATCGCTCAGCAGACGTGTCTCTTCGTCGCGTTACTCCTAGTTTCCTGCTCCTGAAACGGAGTCGGGTTAAGTTCTCCGTTCCACCCTTATCCACTGGAACGCTCGAAACGACTCGAGACGACCCGCTCGTGCGTATCCGGATTTCGAAAGGCTCGGCCAACTATTATGGAACAGTGGATAGCTATGGAATCAAGGGGATCCCGGCTATTATCTGCGTGGGAGAGTTATCCTCTAGAATTGGAAATTTTCGTCGGTGATCCGAGCTGCATCCGCATACCGCGTACATATTTCCGGGGAAAATAGAATGCGACGTTCTGGGAAGTTCCCTTCGGCAAAGGGAGCGCTCTGCAGTTACGTCTGAGGTAAGTCGCGACGCGACTTTGCCCGATTCTTTCGAGGAAGTTGGCGCTCCTGCTGCGAAGCTGTCCGACGACCTACTTCAGCCTCGATTAATCGAACGACCGTCTTCCTAGCAACGATGTTAATTACAGATTATTACTAATCGAGCGTCCCCGGTGGACGGCGAGCGGCTTGAAAAGCATATTAAAGGAAGGAAAACAGACTGGTCCCGTTCCCGTTTCAGCCCAGCCTCTGTTCGAGTACATTTGCCTTTTCCTCGTCAAGCTCTTTTTCCCCTCTTGCTCCTTCTTCTCGTCTCCTCGTCTCTCTGCCTCTGCAGATGTTCGCGTTTCGTTCAATAGGAACCCGTACTTCTGCCGCAGACGCTGATAATCGATTGGAAACCATAATTGGAAGCTGCCACCGTACGTGAAACAATTAATTAGACCTTAATTAGCGCTCGGCCCAGTTTCAAAGCCCCGCCAGTGGTGGGTGGGTTCCAGAGGAAGCTGGGAACTTCGTCATCGTATTACCCTCGAAAACTCGTGGAAGAGATAAAAGAACAGGTTTCGTCCCTATTCTATTTAATCCTTTTCCGTCGGTCGCTGACGAGACCTTATCGCTGTGTAATTATCTTGCTCGCTGTAGAATACGACACGGCTAATTCTACCTTTTCCAGCGAGTTAACTCGTCCAACTTCGTATACAATTAGCGTATATCGCGTTGCATTTTTAACCCCGACGTTCGATCTTCGCTTCACAGCGAAGCGATCGCTGCTGGAATCCGGTGCCTCGAAATTCTTCCAATCTTCCGTCCTTCCTGTTTACGATGTCGCTTTTCGATTGAGTTTTTAATCGCCGAGATTCCTTCCCCGGTGACCTTGCGCAGCTTCTTCATTGGAATTTCTTGCCTTTTATAATCCTGGCAAATTCTCGCTGCTCCCTGGGATTCTTTTCCCGCTGTCCCGCGCGCTCCTCTCCTCTGATGGAATTCTCTTTCAGCATACTTAGGCAGCTCCTCCCGCCGTTGAAGAACTAGGAATTTAGCCGGGTTCATTTTAAAAACGTACCTTATCGAGCAACGTAAGACCCCGTACGAATTGCCTCCACCGTTTCTCCATATTTTAACTCGGATTTTATTACATCGCCGAGATCCTCGCGCTCGTTCATTTCTTCGCGAATACCTGAAAAGGCGGGATATTCATTGGCTCGCGTGCTTCGCCATAAGCGATACGCCCCAACGTTTATCGGCCCTAGCAGGATGTCGGGGACCCTTCGATAAGATAAAGAGAAATATTCAAAGCTATCGCTGGGCCAGGAACCCTGTGGCCTTTTATCCCGTTAACGGGCCAAATGTTCGCCTCGATAACCATGGCGAACTTTCCTTCGCCTTTTGGCCGGCTTCCGGTACACATCCGACGAGAGCAGCCCCTGTCATTCGGCCACCCGGCTTTCTCGCTGAACGAAAAAGGAAGCCGGGGCAGGGAGAGGAACCGGGAAGCAGAATGGCGCGAGGGCGCAGGGAACCGCCATAAAGTCTCGTTCCCTTTAATCCGGTTGAACCGATCGACCTGATCAATCGCGACTGTGGACCGATACTTCGTCGATGTATGTCCCCCGGGATATCCTCAGCGGCAGAGAACTAATCACGGAGTGGAAACTCGGCGCAGTTCGTGACTGCTGGCTCGGTTGGATTGTCGCTTTTGAAAATTTCATTCGACAACGTTGGCCAAGCATTTCCGCGCCGGGCGCACGAAATTGAGTTTCATACGTACTCGTGAATCTGAATCAATTCGACGCCGGAGCGTCGTTTCGTATCGGAAATCGTGTAACGTTCGTAAAAATCTGCCATTCTCGCGCGATACCGGCCACGCGTATTAATCGTATCGAACATATTCAATTCGGAAATATCCCGTCGACGTTATCCGGTTTCCCAATTTTTCTTCCAACCCGGAACCCCGGCGTAGGTGTCTGGAATATTTTTCGCGGTACCCGCGGATTAGTCCGTGCCCGCTTGTTCCGCTCGATTATTATCCTCGGGATACTATCGGTTAATTCGATCGAGGCTTGTTGCGCGAGAATGGGCAAAGTTGCTCGCTGAGCACGCCCGGAATCGGGCTATCGGACCCGGTTCCATCGATACGAATTTCGAAAGCGATGATGAAGCAACATCGCGCCAAAGTTCCGCCAGTTCCGAAGCACCGAGCTTCAGCCACCGGCGGCCAACCGTGCATCCTGCCGCGTTGTAAATTCGTTAGAAAGTTGGAAAGAAGCCGGGAGCAAGGCTCGTGTCGTGGTGTGTGGCCTGTGAGAAATTACCTAACACCCTGTAAATAAGGTATTCCGGGATGTGTAGAAGCGGTGTCGGTCACGTTCCGCGAAAGACGTTCCTCGCACTGACCATGTTCCCGGTGTGTTGCAGCTACGGGAGTACACGTTAACCGAAACGTATCACGAGGACGACGTCGAGATGGAGTTCGTCAGCAACGACAATCTACTAGCGAACAGCCCGACCCCTAGGGGGATCGACCCGAACAGGGACCTGAACGAGGCCATCGCGGAGGAACGGAAGGAAATGGACACTCAGAGATACAGGTACGTTGCTAGAGTACGATCGTTCATTTTTATCGAATTCTTCTCGAGTCGTCAACGCGAACGGAAAGGAACCAGGAAGACTGGGAACGCGCGAGGGACAATTTGAAAAATTCCGAATTACCGTTCGCGACATTCGCACGAATTCCTCCGCCGTGCTGCTAACGATAACGTCGATCCGTCGATTCGCGAAAATGGTATCGGCAGCCATCTCGGATAACGATACCAAAGCGTCCGGATAAAGAGAATCCGATCCCTGTATCGGAAAGACCCGGACCTCCCCGCTAACCAATTCGATTCCTCTCGCGACAATGGCGGCAATGAAGTTTAAGAAATATGTAGGTCGCGAGCAAAGGGACGCTCGCATAACAGAAGCTCGGAAGCAGGAAGACTCGTTGAATGGACACTTGCGCATAAAGGACTGCCAGGTCTGGCCGTCTGAAAACCGCGCGACAATGTCCAGAGGCGCGGTGAAAAGGAGCCTGGAAATAGAGCATCATCGAGAGAGCACATGCTAGAGAGATGCTTCCTCCTTGGCTTTTCCAGGGTCCTTCATAGGGAGACGGTCGAGGATCTATCTTACGTTTCCCTGCCTTTCGCAACTCCTCTCCTCCTCCACCGAGCAGACCTGTTCGTATCATTACGAAACCCTACCCTCGCCCCGCTGCCTTCCTTTCTCGCTCTATTTCCCTCTTTAACTTTTACGATCCGGTTTCATAGAGGGAGTTCATCTTTTTCAACCCCCTGCCGCGCCCCGCTGTCGAGCCGGCTTTGTGCAACGAGAAATGCACGCAGAATCGTTATTTCCCTCTACTCTGCCACGTACCGGAGGCATTCGAAAACTTCCATCAAAGTTGGCCAAATTTTTCCACCCCGGCTCTTTCCAGCCCGAGAAATCTCGCCAGGTATTTTTCTCTAAGCGCTTCCCGAATTGGAGTAATTGCGCGTGCGACGCGATCCACTCGTCGACTACCCTTTCGCGCGTCGTGTTCTTCGTGCTACCCCACGGTACGATTCCATTCGAGTGTTATAGGTATTACTCGAATTTAAAACGTGATACTGTCTTTCATTTACGACGAATGACAATCTCTTCCTACAGCTTCGCACGGTTTAAGATCAGACGCGTGGAGCTAGCCACATAAAAATAGCTTGGAAGCCGGTAGAGATTCGCGGAGTCGGTGCCAAGGGCTTGTAAAACTATTTCGTAACAGGTAGACCATAAGTCTCGGCTGTTACCGCGCGATCCGTTTAGCACCGAACGCGGACCTCGATCTCCTCGCCGGATATTATTCTTCTGGATATTGTTTATCCGTCGTAAAACGGAAGCCATGAAAATGCAATAAGACACGACCGCGAATCAAATGCGTTTCCTGCCGACGATCCCCCGGGTCGGCGTATACATTCGACATCTGATGCCCGATAACGATATTACTTTTCGCGGACTCGCCGATTCTCAGTGGCAATTTCTGCGATACGCCCGTACAAAGTAGAGTGCCCTTATCGTTGTAATATCCGGCCATGCCGGCCCGGGCCACCCTATGCGTTCGTCGACGCGATCATCTCGAAAACGGAACGAGCCCGCCGTAACTTTTCCCTTACTTTATACTTTTCCCACCCTCCTTCCACTTCTCCGTCTCCACTTCCGTCTCGATCTTTCGGGTCGGCTTCTCTCGTCCTTTTTCGCGTCCACGGCAATTTTTATCGAATCAAACCCGCCGTGTGGCGAGTGCTCGCTGTTGGTCCCGTCGAATCGAATCGAGTCGAGTGCAACTGGGAAATTATCAGAAGGGCCGATTAAAGTCGCCGGAATTTGACTTCGGGACGTGGTCTGGTCCCGGGGAGGATGCCTCGAAATAGCATCGAAGTGGAACCGTTCGAGATACGAGTATCGCGTTTGTCGGGTTGATGCTTCCGTGAGAACGGTCGGAAAATTCGATACCCGATACTCGCAACGCGGTCTTGAACGAAAACAGAGGAGGTACCTTTGATTCGACAATTAGATCCGGCCGACTCGATAAACCAACGAATCGCGGCAGCAACGTTATCGGGGGGAAAAAGGCCGCATCGACCGGTGGAATAAATTTTTTACCCGTGCTGAGGGGAATTGTTTCGACGCGGGGAAAGAGGGTGATACCTGCGCCCGACACCGCGGCCGACCAGCGACAAGCGTAAAATACGTTGCTCCGGGTGCGAAACTTTTAACCAAATTGGAACGCCGTCCAGCAGCGGAATTTATTTTTCTATTTTCCGACGCTCATACACCGTTGCCTTCGTCCCCGACGTCTCGAAAACGCGAAAACCTGGTCGAACCAGTCGCGTCCCCCGCCCTCTCTGTGCCCCCCACTGTCCAATCTGCGTCCCCTGCGAGCCAACGATCACCGATCTCTAACCGACATTTTTCCACGCCCTGCGCGATCCATCCCCGCCACTACCCTCGAGTAGTTCTCTGCACGTGTTTCTTCGTGAACGGAACGTTAATGACAGCCTCCACAGAGGAGTCCTCGCGACAGGTGCAACGGCTCATTGAAGAGGCAGCTTTAGAAACGTTTCTATAGCCCTCGGCCAGCCGAACAATGTCGCGCGACGATGAAAAAGAAGCGTGTCGCTGACCAACTACGAGGCCATATCGAGTAATACTCGTGCAATGTTCCCACAGCTACTATTCACTCGAGCGACCCATTTTTCTTTCCAAACGTAACGACGAGAAAGAGAGATCTCCGCGATTACCAGAGGTCCCCGGTATCATCGCGAGTCGTTGGTCGAATCCCCGATACTGCGCGATTTTCGCTCATCGAAGTCTGCGTCTACGGTTGACATGCGAGTAATGCGCTTAAAACTTCCCTGGTTCCACCCCGATCCGGCATCACTCGCTCGACTGCCTGCACGTTAGGCTCCTCTCGAACTAGATTCCGAACGGGGAATAAACGGTGACCGGTCGATCCACTCTGTCTCCGATTTCGCGTGTAACGGAGGATTCGAGTGCTCGGTTTGGGACAGAGAGAGAGAGAGAGAGAGAGAGAGAGGAAGAGGGAGGACAGGAGCTGATAAAAAAAGGAAGAAAAATCGACGAAGACGCAGGTTATGATGCCTGTTGGGATCGACGCGCGCTTGGAAGGGCGCCAGACCCGAGGGTACAAGAGCGATTACCAGAAACGACGATCGGTTCTTGCAGAGAAACGACCAGATAGTCGAAGGGAGATTGCCATCGCGTTACACGGCTCGATCGTTCTTGCGTGTCTTCCACTTTCGACCCTCGACGAGCCACCCTTGCCGTTCTCCGGGAAGCTACGGGATATCGGCTGCCAGGCTACGATCCTTCGTCACGAAACGCGCGATAATTGCAATCTCCACTATGCTTCGCGTTCGAAGAAACTCGCGAGTTCGTGGGAAATTTCACGAATTAGAGCCTGGACTAATTTCTCGAGCAATAGGGATCCGCGGAGTGGGGTGACTCGCGATGGCTGTCTCTTGAACGCTCGGGAAATTCAATCGATCGCGGCTTCTGCTTCTCTTCCGGTGTACCTGTGTAGGGATACTTTTGATTGGCAAATAGAAGGAATTAAGGATGATGGTTTATTCTAATATATATGTAGGATTGGAATGTGTATGGCCTCGAAGGAGTGTCGGGAGTGTTTGAACTTAGAACAAAGGGGATCGAATGGATGTGTATGACAGAGCCGAGTGCGATAGACGAGTGGAAGTTTACGAGTGCCGTGTGTGTTTGCAGTACCTGGTCCACAGAGATTGCGGGGAAAGAGGCATGATTGGGAAGGAAAACCTAGGTGTGAAAAAGGGACAGAATGAACGGTTAAACACTAGAATTGCCAACCCAGTGAAAATGACTGGTCCCAGAATTTTCCTTTTTGCAATCACCGAACACACACGCCTGCTTTAAGAATAAAATTGGTATCGACTCGTATTAAGAAAGAACTGGAATGAATATATTCACCCATATTCATCGTATCGCTGAAATTACCATAATCTGTGCACGTTATAGTTAGGTATCCATTAAAGATCGGTAGTTCTAGCGTTAAATAAGGGTGCAAGGGCACGGGCGAGTCAGAGTGTGCGTAAGCAGTCCAAGTCAGTCTAACGGTTCAGTCTAAGACAGTCCAAGTCAGTCGAGGAATGTTCAAAGTCCGTTAGTTTTTCAGTCAAAGACAGTGTGTCTGTCAGTGTGTGTAAGAAGTCCAAGTCGGACTAAGGAAGATCGG